TTTGAACAGTTGTAATATCTGCCTTGCCTAAAAATATTTTCCATTTTAATAACTACAAAGATTTATAGAAACTACGAATAATATAGAAATAATTTCTTATCAAGAAACAAATGTATAATTTGTTTTAATATTTTCAAAAAACAAGGTAAAATATTCTTCCGATACTGGCATTTTTCATTAAATCAAGATTTGTGCTACGATGTAACTTTAAAATGTTTATTTATCTATGTCGATTTCCTTGTTGATATCGGTACGCATACAACGACGGATTTATACCCTAGTCGCGCCTAAAGAAGTTTTACTTCAAAAAGAATAAAATAAAATCAATACGTCGGTTCCAACCTGTGAGGTTTTGCGAAAGGTGGTAAAAATTGGCAAAGTACTATTTACGAATACAAAAACCAACAAGTGGGGCGCATGGCATCGTGCATTAAGGCAAATTGCTGGAACTTCCCGTACTAAAAATTATTTTTATTTAAAAAACGATTAACATTTTTGAAAAAAACATTACTTCGAAAAAATTAGATTTTTGAGAAACTATAAATTTGACAGAGAATTACTTTTTTTAAAAAAATTGTTTTTTGAAAAAAAAATGTTTTCTTTATTTTGACATATTTTGGAAGTTTTGAACTTTTTTTCAAAGCAATCGTACTGCTTTAATTGCATAGATACGAAATATCGAAGCGCGTAAGCGTCGCGCCGCCGTCTAACGGATAAACATTGATACGGAACCCATAGGAATGCAAACAAAATTTAAACTTATTGTTAAAATCTATATAAAATATCTGATAATTTGATGTGCATATGTCTCATGATCATTTTTGACCGCCAAATGGCATTTTTTTACTTTTTTCATTAGATCTCCGAAACCGCTTGACCTGCCTTCATGAAAATTCTTGCAGTTCTTCATCTTATCAATACAAGTAAGACGTTTTTTGAATTGTTAACATTGGACGCTCCGTTCTCTTAAAAACGGAGTTACCATTTTTGGAACATTTTGCCCTATATTTTCGGAACGGCTAGACCTGCCTTCGCCAAAAACTAATCCGCACGTCTCCTTATCAATACGAATCGAATGTTTTTTCAATTATTCAAATCGCTTCATCCGTGTTCCCGAAATCGTCGACGAAAATTTGTATCCGCATACACGCACACACGCACACACACACATACATACACACACATACATTAATTTTTTTTAAGGTATGCCAAAATGTTCAGAAGGTTTTGCAACGTAAAGAATATAAAAATGTTCATTTTAGATTTTTTTGCGATTACTATAACTTGCCCTACGGGAAGTTAAAAAAAAAAAAAGTGAATTGGAGTAAACAATAAATTATACTTCTAATTGGACCTCCAGAAGTTGAACGTTTGGAGTTACCATAGATAAATATTAAAAAAAAATGTTTCCAGAGATTAGTAAATATGAATATAAATCAAGTTCTTCAATTCTGAAAAATCGAAAATAATTTTTTTTGCATTTTTAGAGGTTTTGAAGGTTTCTGAACATTTTGGCATTTCTCAGAAAATTTTGATGTGTGTGTAGGTGTGTGTGTGTTTTATATGTCCGCATTATTTCGTCCACGTTTTCGGGCGCACGGATCAACCGATTTGAATGGTTTAAAAACATTCGATCCCTATTAATAGGGAGATGTGCTGATTAGTTTTTGGCAAAGGCAGGTCCAGCCGTTACGGAGATACGGAGCAAAGAGTGCAGAAAATAGAAATCGAGTTTTTGAGAGAACGGAGTATCCGATTTGAATGATCTAAAAAACATTCAATTTGTAATGATTGGGAAAAGAGGTGATTCGTTTTTGGCAAAGACAGGTCCCGCCATTTCGGAGATACAAAGCTAAACGTGCAAAAAATAGCATTTTTTGAGTGAACTAAGAAGCGTCCGATTTGAATGATATAAAAAACTTTCTGCTTGTATTGACAAAACAATTGCTTTTGGAGATAAACAAATATTACATCTTTTTTTATTTTTCATAAAATATTTTTGTAATTTTGGATTATAAAAATTGAAAAAATGACCCAGTCTAAGCACAGTCTAAGCGCCACTCTGGTACAAATGTTTACACAAGTGCGTTTAGACTGTTTATGTATTGGAGCACATTTCCAATGTTGTGAAAACGAAACCTATTGAAAAATGTGAAAATGCCGCCAAACTAAGCACAGTATAAGTGAAAATGTCGCACAGAATTATTTGCAAATGCACAGAAGAATGTGACTATACGGGAGCACTTTTTCAATTTTGTGCCAATTAGGCAACAATTTTTTTGAAATTGAATTCGAAATGAAATGACGATTGTTAATGTTCTGGAGATAAATTGATTTATGATTTACATTTGATCTGCTCAGATATAACAAGATAGCAAAAATAATGAAAGTTACAGTATTTGTAATAATTAAATATTTGAAAACGTTTAAAATTTCTCGAATATTTCATTACGGTACGGAAAGTTCGAGCAATTTGCCTAAAGGCACGATGCCATGCACCACTAGTTCGTTTCATAAATTACACACATTACACAGAATAAATACCTTTAGCTGCACAAATCCTTCGATAGTTTTATTAACCACATCGCCAGCACATGAACTTTCCACCTGCAAATAATTTTCCTTCAAAGTCAGGAACATGACCGTGGTGCAATTTGTCCTGCTGAGGCTGCACATCGTGGCGACCATTTTCTTTATGATATCTCCATAGCATTTTTCACACTGCAAAATACAATAGTGTTGAATTAAATTGATCTATTTTCTTACACACAACACTTATACACAATATACTAATAAGTATGGTAAGGAAAATGCATAAAGCGGTGATGTGAATAATAAACAAAAAGAAGGAAAGGGGAATCATTGATTTGTGGTGCTCTCAGGCCATGGACCTGCCTTCAGGCAAACTACTATTTAATAGTATTACATTGTTTTAACTAATTATCCTAGGTCCTCGTAATACATCCACTGTTTTGTTCATAAAGCTACTAAATCCATGGTCAAGTCAAATGCAGGTGTTTTTGAGGGCAAATTATGGATTCTAAGGTAATCCTTCAGGTTTGGGAATAGCAAAGCTATAGAATACTTCACATGGCAAGATCTTTATTCTCTTGGACCTTAATAGTTTTCTTTTGAATTTTTAAGCCTTTCTTTCAGAAAGATTTTGGAGACTTCGATGGGCAATTATTAGGATGTTAGCTAGTCAGTAAATTACAAAGTGAAATAGAAAGAAGTTTCAATATGCAATGAATAACTGTTATAACCTTACCTTCACATAATACATCAAAACAAAGGACGCGCTGGTAACTGGTATGATACCAAATTCAATAAGTTTGCAAAAACGCTCCAAGACTTCACGACGTTTCTTTATTTGGACTTGATCTTCTTCGTGTGTTCCTGCAATAAGATAATAACATAATTAATTACAAAATCTTCTAATAAAATTTTTCTTTGGGCTCTCATCTTCTTCGTGCCTTTCTACAATGAGATAATTAATAACGATAACATAATTACAAAAGTCTTCTAGTAAAGTCATATTAACTTTTCTTTTACACAAACTGTGTTATGCATATAAACAAAAATCTAAACATAAATGTGATTGTTGAGTTGTGTTAGATGCATCTTCGAGTGAAAAATTCCATTTGGCATTTCAATTTATAATTGAAGCTTAAAAGTGTATCAACATGCATCACAGCAGATATCAAACAACCAACTATTAAAATATGTTCAAAAACTTTCCCAGTAAAGAAATATATTACAAATCTTCAGACAATTTACAAAATTTTTATATAATCTATACCATCTTCAGACAATTTTCGCTCTGTGTCTCTTTCTATTCAACATTTCTTGTTGGCACTTGCATTAGAAGCTCCACTTCAATAAGAAATATTTAAATTAATTTTATTCTAATTATTACCTGTCCAATGTTTTAAGAAAACATATTCTTCTGCATACTTATTGATTAACATAACGTCATCCGAGCTTAGTTTTAAAACCAAGTCGTGTAGAATCGGGTTCTTATGGTCGGCCAGTTCTACATTGAAATTTGCGGCTAATGTACATATTGCAAACAAGGCCTAAAACGTTAGAAATTAATTTATTAAAAGTACAAAAAATATTTCAGCAACTTCGATAAAACCAAAATAGTTGTAATTGTTCAAAAATCGCGAGTGCTTGCCATGTCGTCCAAACCTAACATGACGCTTTCCCATACATTTTTGATTAGGCTTGGATTGGACATAGTAAGCGTTACTTCAATCAATATTTTTACTAGAAATGGTTAAAATTATGAACAAAATAAAAATCATTGCCCAATCTACTATTTATGAACCTCATTGATAATACAATTTAATAAGGATACTATTTTTGGCGGACAACCCCGGAGCACCGATTATTCGATTTGAATTTTTCAAAAAGCATTCGATTCCCATTGATGAACAGACTGATAGAGGTAAATTGGTTTTCAAGTAGACTTGTAGGTGAGCAGGTGGATACATAGACAGGCAATCAGATGGACAAGTAGACAGGTTAACAGGTTAACAGGTTGGACAGTAAACAGGCAGCAAGGTAAAACTGTTCACAAGTAGAAGGTTGAAGAAGTTGGAGACAGGTGGAAAGGTAGGCAAGTAGTTCATGTATAGTTTAAAACAATATTGAAATTCGCCTTACAATTAGTATTACTTTAAAATTTTGAATTTTTCAAATCAACTTACAGCTTGTTGGAGATCGTTATGAGAGACATTTTGTACAATGTCTTTGCAAATTTCAATGTAATTTTTTAATTATAACTTTAACATATCGGCTTGTTCCATACAACCGATAGCATTAACGACCATATTATTTAAATCGATTTTTTTCACTTCGATCAATGCCCAAGATAAATAAGCGCCGTAAGAAAGCAGGCAGTATATCGATCCCTAAAAGATATTTTGATAGGAGTATGAATTAGTTAAATTAGTTATGTTTAATCTTTGATCTAATTAACATACTTCGATAGGGAGATTCCTTTCAATAACGCCATTCCTGAAGACTTTAAATTCCCCTAAAAAATCTTCCCATATATTTAAATAATTTACATTATATAAATATTGGAAAATGTAGATTTTTTTTAGGGAATTTAAAATCTCAGGAAAATCTTCTTCCTTGGCATATTTTGGATCCATTTGCTAGAAAGAAAAATTATTTCTGATCAAGAGATGAATTGTTTGACAACTTTCTACACATAACAAAAATGTAATTCGTACCCCATTCACAATACTTAGCCATGTAAGAATTGGCTCCATATATACGAATGCGCATTTGTCTACGATGGTCTTAATGGCGGCATCGCAATCTGCAGCAATACTTCTTGCCCTTCTAGAAAGGCAATGCAAAGTATTGCTGCAGTTGTCCAGCACTGTCGCATCTGCAGAATCCTGGGCGATGGCTTGCAGAGCGCCCAATAAATTCCTTAAATGCTGTAAACATAAAACACTAGATTAAAACTAGTAAGTATATATTAAAAAGTTAGAAAAACTACAACAAATGCAAGATACATCAACATTCCCATATGCAATTAAAATTTCTGCTTAAAATATATACTCCTGCTGGTGGCAATTCAAGCACAAAGACAAGTAATCCTTATAGGTATTCATAGGCACAAATATTAAAATACTAACCAGATCTTCCATGTCAATTGTATTATCAAAGTCAAAATATTGAGGAATTTTTATCAAATGGATAATACAATTGACATTGGTTTTAAAGCGAGCCAACAGAGTCGCCATCACCGGCATTAAATATTTGGTCATATTTGATTTGTCTTTTTTCATTTTGTTTTGTTTTATACTTGGGACCTGTAAATATGAAAAGTAATTAAATTTAGAAATAAAAAATAATGTTTAAACATATAATCAACACACTAGAAGAAGAAACAACTGGATAGTTTAACCCATTTGCATGTACTGACATTAAAACCAGGGCAGGGTACTTTTACTTGATCGGTTTAGATTTAGTTAATGTTGTACTTCTAATTGGACTTATAAATTATTGCCTTAAACGTTTGACGACTATCATGCTATAATATCACATCAAGGAAACAGATGTGTAGTACTAAAAGCGACAAACTGATTCCCACAAAACTATTCCATTGGTCATGAGTTCATACACCGTCCAAAAACCCAAAAAAAATCAAATTGTCTGGGGACCAAGAGCGTTTTGTTTATTTAATTGACCAGGAGAGCAGCTGCATATCAATTAAGTAGAGTCCAGTACTTGTAATTATCGACCATATTCGGATTCGCTGCGAATATTGCAACTTGAGATCATTTCTGGAAAATGATCATCTGTCCGTAATTATCATTTAGAAATGAACTTTCATTATTAGATTAGATTAATAACTTCTATAGTATTTGTTGAGGCAGTGGATTATGTCAAACAACGCCTAAACAAATATTGTTTTCGCAACTTCACTCTTCAATTAGAATTAACATACAATTCATTTATTGCTTGTATTTTTTTTACTTTATCGCTGGCAATATACTATTATTTTTTGAACAGCTGTAATATAAGATTGCTACTACCGTTGGGTGTTTACTGGGTTATCACCATCAAAAGTTTCATACATTTGTCTATTAAGTGAACATTTTTATTCTCAACTCTCACCTGAACACTGCTGTGACGAGCTTTATTGCAATCTCCTGATTGCATCCGCTCTTATCCCAAGATAATCTAAGAATTCTTTGTTGGTATTTGTGACTGAACAATTTTAATTTGTTGGCTAATTTTACGTCCTCATACAACGGGAGCAAGGCTTTTAAAACGCTTGCCCGTACTGATGCAGCCTGTGAAGATATAGAAAAAATCATTATTAGTAACTGCCTGAGGAGATTTTTCTGTTCTCTTGACATTTCAAGATCGGCCTTTTCAAGAATCTTGAAGAAGGAAGGAAACTGGATTGGACCCGTTTTGTTCTAAAGAGTGCCTCCTGCACGACGTCGTGGATGGTAAAATAGAAGGGCTGAAGGGATTGGTAAAGAGAAAATACAGGGTACTGAAAACCGAAGTGCAGGATCAGGAAGCATGGATGAAAGACTACCATTTATTTATTATATATATATATATATATATATATATATATATATATATATATATATATACCTTGTCATAGAGGAAAAATGCAAAAAGCCGCAAAGTCGATTCGTGTAATAGTCCTGGGTGCTTTCTTAACAAGCGGCCCAATTCTCGTATGCTGACACGTCTTGTGACAGGTGCGATATCTCTGTAAATAAACTGATGTTTAAAAAATATTCTTTAACTTATGCGGTTCAAGGAATTATGGTAGGTATAACAGCTATTCCTGGTGACATTTTGTTTTATATGGCAAAATGATTGATCTAGTGGTAATATCAGAAAACCAAACCGAGCTGCAAAACATGATGGACAGAATCGTCGAAATGGGTAGAAGATATGGAACGGAAATCAACATCAACAAATTGGAAGTGATGAGCAGTGTTGGATTTACAGTAGGGGCAATCGGGGCTACTGCCCAGGGCGGCAAGTTTTGGGGGGCGGCAAAATTTGGATAGTGAGAAAAAAATTCTATACAATATGATCAACCTTTTTAACAACATTTTTTATTTCAAGAAATATAATTAACAAAACATAATATGATTGCAATGCAAAATTTGGGTTGAAATAAACGATAAGTAAAATTTATTATTTTGCCTTGCCTCCCTCTCCGAACGCAAATTATCAAATTGGTTAATAAGTCATCAAATTTGGCAATTTGGCTAATATAAAGATCCGTAAACAAGCTGATAGTTTAAGAAAAATATGTTCTTCAGTTCTCGAGCCCTCTTAAAATGGCGTATTTGTGCACTTCCAAGCTCATAGCGTCGAAAAAAATTTAAACTAGTGACTCATGGCATTGTGCCTTGAGACAAATTATTGAAACATCACTTACTAAAAATTACATTTTATAAAGAGCTTCAACATTTATTGAAAAATGAAAAAAAATACTTCTAAAACACATTTTTTGTATTTTGAAATTTTTCGAAAATTATGAACTTTTTGCAAAGAAGAGAAGAAATATCGAAACTCAATTTCCATTTTACGTAATTGCCTGTACCAAAAGCTAATCAGCACGTTTCCCCATCAATAGAAATATAATATTGTTTAATTATTTAAGTCGATTTCGAGAGCACGGATCAACCGATTTATGATTCAATTCATATCGATAAACAGACCTCAAGGCAGGTCCAACTGTTGTGAAGATACGGGCCAAAATGCCAAAACTGATAATTCAGTTTTTGAGAAAAAAGCATCCAATAACATTCAAACAAGAATAAATTACAGAATAAATAACTGCTTAAATTTGTGGAGGGCAGGTTTAGCGGTTTTGTGATCCAATAAAAAAAATTGAAAAAGAAACATTTGGCGGACAAAAGTGATCATAAGTATAAATTTTGTTTACATTTATGTAAGTTCTGTAACATTGTTTATCCGTTAGACTGCAACGCGGCGCTTACGCGCTTCTATATTTTCTCCCTCGTAGCTGAAGCAGCGCGATTGCTTTAAAAAAAAGTTCCAAAATTCGTAAAATTTTAGGGATGGAGCGGCATTTTTGTCATTGCCCCGGGGCGCCAAATTTCTAAATCCGGCCCTGGTGATGAGAGTATCAAAACGAGATGATACTCTGAAGATAACAGTAGAAAATCAAAAATTGGAGCACGAGAAAGATCAGGACAAAGATCGCAAGCGCCAAGGTGGAGTTTGCGAAGTTGAGAACACTAGTGAGAACCAACCAAGTCTCGACTTGTGGATGATATTGATAAAAAAAATGTTTTGTCCAGAGCATAGCTCTTTACTATTAATATTTACCTACTATTACTATTTGGAGAGTTTTAAAATGTGGTGCGCAGGAGACAGGTGATTGGAAAAGAATAAGTCCATAAAAGACTCGACTGAGAACGATCATGAAAAGAAAAGGAAAAAACTGAATAGGACCCATTCCATTCAATTCAATCGAAAAAAGAGTGCCTCCTACACGACGTGCTCCAAGAATACATAATCCTGAACATATGCTTATTTAAGACATGATATGTTAAAGCAGGAGTCTACAAACAAAACTTAGCTGTGTTATCCAAGAAGAATTGGCCCATAAATGTCAAAATATCTTACTTGATGCGTTTATAAATTAAATGCCTGTATAGGGAGTTGATGCACAATTCAAGTTCCCTATACTTTTTATTTAATTTATTTTTTTCAGATTGAAGGAATGCCAAGCGGCTCAGATCACGCCTCGTCGTCTCCTTCGCTTCTTCGACCTGAATCAGCTCCGACCACCGATTCAGGTCTGAACTCTGTATTGATCGACCAGCCTGAATAGATATATAAAAAATCAGTTAATCAAATGGTAATTTTAAAATATTTTTTCAACTCTTTTGCCAATGTATTCATTTTTAATGTCTAGTGATGTTTAACCCTCCGTCGGTCGGCGTGGTCCGGCCAGACTTTTTTCGACTTCAATTAACAAAAAAAAAAAATACTTCTAGTAATCCTATCGACTCGAAATTTCTTGACTTTTCCTAAAATTTCATTAGCTGTCGATCAATAAAAAAATCAGGACGAAAAATTGTACAGAAGGATAATTATAAGGATATTCACTTTTTTATACTTCGAACGGTCGGAAAGGTCTGTCTAGACCACCCATACATTTTGTATGAAATATACGCTTTTTGATTTATGTAAACCAGTATTTTATCTTCTTTTCATGGTATTTTCTATTCAAACAGCGTTGTATATATTCTTTGCTATGTGTTGTAGCATGAATGTTACTATTTTCATGACGAAAGTTCCTTAAAAACCTACCAAACTTATTGGTAATCGCAAACACTGAAAATCGGATGAGTAATGCACACATTATCAACAATTTTTCTACCCGTACTGCGTTCGAATTTTTTTTTTTTTGCCAAACCTGTAGTGAAATTATATTTTCACTTCGAGTTTTACAGCTCATTTCAAAGACGACGCACCTCATTTCGTTTTCTTTTGAATTTCACATTCATTTCAAAGGCGCAGAAAAAGAATAAAATTGTTTTTCATTGATATAAACAGAAAAATTAACAAAAAAAGCAACGATTTTTTTATATTTCTTGATTTTTTTATATAATATAATATGTATGTAATATTTTTATTATAAGCAAGCTCAACACATGCAAAAGACTTACCGTAAAAAGAAAAAATCTAAACTATAAATATTTACTACTAATAATCGTTAATATATAAGACACCAAAAACTCATTTATCCCATATAAATGCATGTAAAATGAATGGTGGTCCAGCCAGACCTTTCCGACCGTTCGAAAGTGAAAAAATATCCGACCGACGGAGGGTTAAATGTAACTTAAAAATTTTTAATATGTACAAAAATGTCTAGATATATATACATAAATGTATATGTCGCCTACTGGCAAGGGTTAAAAATGTACAAAAATTTAAGAAAAATATCTACAAACGGCTACATATTTTTGAAATTGTCTAGAAATGTGTAAAATATATAGATGGCTAAAAATATCTAAAAACCCATAGGAGAGTCTACGTATAAAAATCATTCTCACGAATACAATTTACCTGCCAATGTTGCCGTATATCTTATATTTTTCTGACCCAATCTAGACAAATGTTTTAAGATTGAGGTCAGATTTTTCATAAAAAAAACATCATAAATTATGTCTCCACCCATCTTTATAATACTTTGGAAGAACTGGCAAAAATCAACAGTAAGTTTTTTATTTTTGGAGAGTAGAGAAGGAAATCCTTCATCTTCCTACAAAAAAAAAACAATAAAAATAATAGAAGTGATACTCTGCAAAAGAAGTGAAACTTCGTAATGTGAAAATGAGATTGCAATGCCTTTGGGCAGTCTGCAAGACCTTCAAAGAGTATGCAACACTTTCAGATAGTCTACAATGTTCTAATAAATATTCTAAAAATTATGAAATAATCCATAACATTCGAAAAACATTTTACATTCTAAAAAAATCTGAAACAATCATCAACTTTCCTAATATATGGCATTCTAAAACAATCATTATTAAAACATTAGCTCACTTTGCATTGAACCCATTGAACGCATTGAAAGCAACCTTGTTCAAAGTCGCCTAAGAAGTTTCACTTCGATAGTACATTGTGATATATTGCATTATCTATTATACCTCTACAAAACCTCCTTCTATGTAATTAGCAAGTGAAAAATGCTCAAAAGTTTGCATCATTTGGGCGGTCACTTGTACGCCGTTGTAGCCGCTGGCGTTTACTAAAAGTAATACCAGGGCCGCCAACGCCTTGTACCTGTCTCGGACGTACAGGCAAATCCAATTGCCGACGATCATCTGAAAA